TACTTTTTTGCTCTAAAGAGTCTACGAGTAAAATGATGATGATTGTTCAATCCAGAACTTAAGACGACTTAAGTCAGCTGTAACCCAACATCGTAGGTGGTCAAATTACTGACGTCATGTTTGCTTTGCAATTGAAAATACGGTCAGTCAAAATATGTTCAGGTTTGACACCGGAGCTTAACGAAAAAGATGGATCTGGGGCGAATTCCTCACACCTGAATAAACGCCAAAGATTTAGACGACTGTCTACAGTAATCGTGACGCTGTAGTTTTACGTGGCGAAGTCCTTAAAGGAGTTTAACAAATAAATTTTTTGACCACTTCCTACCCTAAACTGCAGATGTTAGTAATTAGTCCATTCAACATGAAGAATGAGACGTTGCAATAAGGAAAATAAATTGTTGTCGCCAAAGTTCTACACAGAGTCACAATAATGGCTAAACTGTAAGCATTAGTTTTGTGCTCCTTGTAGCATTTTTGGAGATTCGTATTAGGTTTGGAAAAATTCCAGAGGACGAGAAAGAAGAAGAAGAAGAAAACAACAAGGCCTACTGATTATTCCACTTCAGACGACTTGTTAGACTGCCACATCGAATCCCCTAATGCGTCATTTCAAGTACAGACGTCATCAGAAGATGCATGAATAATATGAATTTAAGTCGGTCATCAATGGTCTTATCAAGGTGGAATATGTCGGGCCTGAAAGTGTTCATGGCTGAAACAATAGAACATCATTGCAAATGATCCACTTTCTGATATCTTGAAGCCTAGATTGCGTTTGACACTAGTTAAAGGCTAAATATGGTTTGACAACTTGAAATTTCAAATTGTGAGCATACATAAACTCGGTTGCGCAGTGAAGAGTTTCGTCATCAATGGTATTGTCTTTTAAAAACACAAAGTATCATAAGTGCCATTTAATAAACGATTTATAGACTAGGCCTTTTGGTTTCGGCGACGAATTTCCGGGACCAACGAGGTCAGGCAAAGGCAACTAAAATATTCACTACAATGCGCTTAGATGGCTATTTTTGGGTTGTGGAATGGTAGTTCCAAATGAGCGGTGTGCACAGATAATGTTCCTGTACCCAAATCAAAACTCTTTCAATGTTAAAATCTTTAGGAGTTTCATTTCTTTGGACCACGTCAGGTGAGTGCATTCACGACCTCTTGTTAAATAAGGGTTGCTAAATCACCCTTTTTAAGGTTTCATTTAATTGCTTAAGGGCTTTTTAATGAAAAAAATTTAACTCGTTCGGAACCCCGACTGCGTTTACTCTAGAACGTTTGCAGGAGATTATTTAAAGGTCCTGTTGACTAATTTATTCAACCTAGACGTAAATTGGCCGACATCATTTCTTAGAAAGTTCATCTTAAAGTTAACACAGTTTTACCTCGAAGCAAGCTGCTTATGTCGCCTAATATTAGTATTTAGTAATTCATTTCAGACTCCTTCGCACACTAACTCTGTTCTTGAGGTTTAATCCATGTCTTTTCTTAATGCTTTTTAAAAAAATTGTTGGACGTAAGTTGATAAATGAGTCAAGTACAAATTTTTCTTCCTTTTTGCTGCAGTTTCGGATCTTGTTTCATTTAGGTCTAGGCGGTAAATTCCTTGTAAACGCTTTGGATTTATGGGCATCTGGCTAATCAAATATGTGTCTAATCTGGTGTCAGGCATTTGCTTAAACATGACGTACTTATAAAAAATTAGGAACCTTAAATTTTAACTGGGATCCCTCAAAGTTTGAGAGTCATTCAACCTGAAAAACAACGAATCTTAGTTAAGGCTTTCGCTCTATCGTTTTGATCTAATTTAAATACCTAAAAGTAAACGTACCTGCTGCACTCCTAAGAAATTGGGTCAGAAATGAATTTTCAAATTCTTGTATTAGCTTTACACGCATTTTAGACATCCTCGTTGTGGCATTTCCAAAAAGTGCTTCAATGCGATGACCACAAGTAATTACTCATCATACAGTCTGACGCACCAATTGCTCTACTTCCTGGTCGGTATTGGGGTAAGCAATCAGTTATGTGCATTTCGAAAAGTGGGTTTTGGAAATACTCTGGGTCAGGATCTTTGTTTCTTATTAGATAATTTTACAAGAGTCCTATAAAGTCCTGACCTATTCCGAATAATGCTGATATTAGAATGAAAAATCTGTTGTAGCAAAACGTAGCCAAAATGCAGACTGGATGTTATAACACATTTTAAAGATGTGTGTGAGAGTGAAAAGTACCAAGCTAACACACTTTCTGTGAAGCAGGATTGCAGTGTATTAGGTTAATTGAGGTAGCAGCAACCAGTGTAAAGCCCTGAATATAAATCAACTTGGATTTCATGGATTCGGCCAAAGAGTGCGGTCATTTTTACCAAAGGGACCTTCTGCCTTGGATAAAAAAAACATCGTAAAGTGCGCCTCTTCTACTTCAGCAAGGAAGCATCACATTGAATGACAGGTAGAACAACTAAGCCGCTGTGGAGATAATGTGTGAGATGATTTTACAGGTGCATCGTAAACCCGAACCATTAGAGCAATTTAGTGATTACTTGTTAAAATTCCATTGGAAGAAGGGCTTTAACCCGAGCTTACATTTAAAACAGCAATCTCACGCAACGCGTGAGCTTAGTTCCCACGAATCTTGGTTATTTACTGATGCCGAGACTCTGGCTAATTAAAAAAGTTTAAAAGTGTCACTACAAAACCTACCTAATTAAACTCATTTTACTAAAAACAAGTTACTCCGAAATGAAAGTTGGAAGAGTTAAAACCAAAACAGGTAAATCTGACATCTATCTTATGAACAGTTATACTTTTTCCCAAGTATTTATTCGCGAAATGTTCTGTAATTTTTTTTCTATTTCAGATGACTTAGATGTTTAAATGATGTCAATGTGTTTTTACAAATTTGTGATACATTAAAATCGAACTTGGTCGGAAATTATTATTCCCACTTAAGTATTGCGTAGCTTGTTTGACACCCGGAACTCTTAGTATTTTTGTAAATCATTCTAAAGAAGTAACCAATGCGTCTTTACTGTGTTAGGCCCATTGTGAGCGTGAACTGACAGATTTAATGGAAGGACCACCAAGCACCAAGCAGATAGAACAGCACATGTCTGGTTTTTGTGCCAGAATAGACAGTGAGGCAAGAACTTTAGAAGACCAGGATTTTCCTACTGAGTTCCGAGATCTTTTTATGGAACAAGGTAAGTACTAGAGCAGTGAATTAAGCTACGCTCACGAAACATGCAGTCTGTAAGCATCTAGAATGCTGTTATGTTAAAAAGAGGACATGGATAACTTTCTTCACTAGCAAACAGACGTTTGGCAAACGACAGCAACCAGAACACTAATAATAAAATCTCACTGATGATTGATGTCAACATTTAATAAACCACCTGCTTAGTTTATTTCGATGTTCCAATTTGTTAGTCTCTAGGGATCACCCAGATTTATGAATTTCTAAAAAAAACTGAAGACTTATATGTGCATGACTTTTACAATGAATGTTTTTGGTTGTTACAAAACGTCCACAGCCAATGATATTATTCTCAATACCCTTTCGGCAAAGCTTAGTATTCCAATGAGTCTACAAGCTCAGATTCGATTTTGCAAGCGACGATAATTTGAAGTGACTTTTGGTTACTTATGCCTTTTTCAATAAAATAATAATTTTATTACATTTTAAGGCGGCGTAATATATCTGAACAGGACGTTGAAACAAATAAAAATGGTTCTCAGAAATGCTTTTTTCAATTCCGCTTAGGCCTAGCGTTTTACTTTGTATTCCATGTAAATTTTAAGAAATTGATGCATAACTTATTATGGAATCTACCCTGCACGTTGTGCAACTACTCTACATTGACTCAAAATGAAATCCATCCATAAAAATGCACTTGTTGTGTACTCAAATTCCGTAAAGTTACTTAACTCAGTTTTGCTCTTCCCAAGTGTATCGTGTGAAATATTCTTGCAAAGTAAAAATTCGTGAAAGGGTCTGAGTTAACAAGTACAAACAACGAAAACTGTCGTTATCAATTTAAAAAAACCTCAAGGTGATGCATTTAACAGTAACGTAACGTCAAGATAATTTTCCGGTGTTAATCAAAACACTTTGTAATAAGGTACGTATTTTCTGCCTTTGATTTTTTTGGTGATATTTTTGCTAAACCAGCTCCCCGTTTGCTAAATGTGTTAGCATGCGTGCTACACTCAAAAAATGAATGATTGCTTTTGTATTTTGCTTCCTTTTGTGTGCAGACAGACACAACTGATCGGGTTAAGTTAAAGGTTTCCTGTTTATATTTGAATTAATTTTTTTCCACCTAACTTGAATTACACTATGAATGGGCTCACGGGATGTGGTATTACTAAGTAGAATCACGCCTAGCAATGTTCCAAATACTTTTTGTGGAGTAGGCAAAGTGCTAATTAATGGGAACTGCTGTTGTTCCTTGTGTCGCTTTGGGGTTAGCGACCACACTATTTTTATTGATAAAAAAATTACAGAATGTTATCGTATACAGACTATTCAGCTAGACCAGCCGTCTTTTGAGTGAGTGACTTCATATCAACCCACATTTTGCAAAAAGTTTAAAAGACTGCCCCAATTTTTAAAGTTTTCACTTTACTAATGATAAATTTTTGTCAGTGCAACGCGTAAGCATAAATGTACGAAAACGATTGTCTGTACATCAAACTGTCACCGACACCCACAAGCTGTCTGAGCACTGGTCGTGAACGGAGTTTCATTTTGTGGGTGTGTTTCGTCAGCCAAACTCTCCACTACACAAATCTAAACTACTTTTATTACGGTGATCTCTGCCCGACAGCCACAGTTATATTTCTTCCGGCCTCTCAAGCAAATTTTATTGCTGCATTGATGCACAAAAATGACTATGATGAGGATACAAGCGTAACACTGATGATGTCATTTACGATAGACTTCAACAATACGCTAAATTATAGCAACGCAGCTTGCACGCATTCAATCTGTTTACTTTTCATACAATTTGATTCTTGATACACCTGGACGAACAGAGCAAGAATTCAAATTCGACGTCGAAGATATCGCGCTTCTTTTACCAAGTTTGATTTAGTTTACTGAGGCAATCAATTCTTATCTAGTAGCTGGGAGCATTCTAGTACCATTCAATGTATCGGAAAAAGTGACTAAAGTATATTCAGTTTACTAAATGGGTTTTTTAACAGTGCAGTGACTCTTAATGGTTCAGATCATACTATTTGAAACCTTCGGAATCCAAAACCTAACTTATAGGTCTTTTTGATAAAAGATATTTTTTTACTTGAAAGCGGATAGGAGGAGTATCCAGTTTCCAAAGGCTGACAAGCCAGTGATGGTATCAGTTTTTTTAAGTTGATGTTGTCCGTTTTCGCAAACTTTTTTCCTATGTGCCCTAATACCGTGGCCATAAATCTGTGGTCGAATGGATTTTTCCGTAAATTTTTAGTCGGTCTCTGTGGAATTGCTGGATTCACTCAAATTGCCCGTCTAAGGTGGCTAGACCACATAGTCTCCTGGCAAAGTGCAACTACTGGCTGTTATCATCGCTTCGATGGAGAGAACCTCAATCCGGAAAACTTCGATCCAAGTCACTATGGTAACTACCGGAGGCGCCGACGCTCAGAGAGCATCATGCAAAGCGAGAACGATGAAGACGACGTTTGCTTATCTCATCGCACGGCTGTGGCCTTGTTAGCCCTCTCAGCCTACACCCGCCGTTTAGTTGAGGAGGTCGTAATGAAGGGCGTCGCCTAGCTCTTGAACGCCGATATTTTACTGTTCAAATTGTCCACATTGCGTGTTTGGGCGTGAAATGCATACATCGTTTCTTAGCTATTTTCAATTCTATCATTATTAGACAAAATGTAATTTTGAGCAAGCAGGTTTTTTCACTGAGGTCTATAATTTTTATTTCCAGGAAAATTATCAAGGTTATTGATTTTTAATTCTTGATCTCATGTTGAAACCAGCCTTACACACACCTTGCATTTAAACTGGAAGTCATATTTTAGGATGAATTTACTAAGGAGGGCATAACAAATCCTAACTCACTTGAATGAAGACAAATTTGATGTAGATGCAGTAATTAAATGTGCTTGTCAATTTAGATACGAAATAAATGGACAAACTTGATTGTCTGATCCGCCAAGGTTCGACAGATAATCAGTCACAATTAAGCAATGGGGAGTTTTGATTGCACCTTCGAGTTGACTAAGCATCGGAAGTTTCGTGTATTCAAAGACTCAAATTTGTACTGAAACTCGGTGTTTGGTGTGCCCTAAAATCCAGCCGAAACCCATGTAACCACATTTTGTTGTACTTTACCTGCCACCCAGCAACAACTGACGAGCTTCTTTTATTCATTTATTTGTTCAGTGAGAAAATGTGTTTGCTGTCTATTTATTGAAATGAACTAAAAAAAATTATCTGGTGTTCCCTTGGTGCCGTCACTAGACATACTAGTAAAATCATTGTAAGCCATGAGGAACTTTAAATGTCGAAATTGGCCGACAGAAGAAATGCATTAAGAGACCTTACAGTTTCTCTCCGCCCTAAAATTCCGTTATTGCGAGTTAACTCAACTTGTACTTCAAAATATGATCGAATGGAAAAGTTTGTGCCCAGATTATAGTTAACTTGAGTAGTACAGAGTCAACACGTTCGTCCTATAAGAAATCACATCCTAGTCAAAATGTTTGTTAGATTTTTTTTCTGTGTGATGTCGACACAGACTCTCAGATCATGAATTAAGTAAAATCAGTTGTATTGCAGACTTGTAAATTCAAAAACAAATAGCGATGGTGTGTTAAATTAAACCAAATTCGTGAAAAGTTCTAATCAATGGGGTACCAGTGAACCAAAACTGGTTCAGGAGGAACACAATTTCTCAGATATTTACCTTTGTTCATGTTTTACGTCAAAAGGCAATATACGCAATATAATGAAACTAAGACTACATGTTAACTTGGTAATAATGGGATTAGTTGTAAATTTTAATAATGCCCGGGGAAATAGAATGCTGTTTGATATATAGACAACTATGCTGCTAAATTTGGCAATTCTTGTTAAATTCGCAATAAATTATAAAGGGACAAGGTGCATCGAGTGTTCAAAAAATGAGTTGTTCTATTATATTGTCTCCGCATTTAATGGAATAACATCAGAACCGATCATTGGGTTTTCTCACGTACCTAACATGCATAGCATACGATTCTTTTTATTTACTCTTTGTGTCAATTTTTTCCCTAATTAACGACATAATCCTTCATTAATGCATGCAGCATTTTGAATTATATAATCGCCGTTTTAAACTAAAGAAGAATATCTTCGGTCTCTCGAAATTCACCTTGTAATGTATTTAGCATAACTCGGCGCATTCTTGCTTTTGTCCTTCTGAAAAATAACGGTCCAAACAGGCTTCGATTTAGAGTGCCAAACCCAACCTTTGCAATACCAAGAGAAAAAATCTTGTTTCTAAAAATATGATAATTTAACCTATACTCTCTAAGTTAAAATCTCAAACACGCAAATTAACGAACGTCGATTAATTCGAATCCAAACTATGGGGACTTAAAACCAGTGCTAAATCACAATGCAGATATATGGTGGACATCGGCTTCACCACCTTAAGCAGATTCGAAGACTTTCGTTCAAGTTCAAGAGAATAAGAGGACAAAACAGTTTTTACATATACAAGACATGGTGGATAAATTTAACTCTTTCTGGACTTGCACACATAGGGTAATTGGAAAACACTGATTTAGCATAGGTGAGTTGCATGCACACAAGGCAATGGCTGTAATGTAGTGAATAAACAGGGTTTATAAACGAGGAGACCCGTGAATTAATAAGCATTAAAAGAATGAATGGAGTCTGATAATTCAAGAACTTAAAATTTTGAAATTTTCAATAAATGGCTCTTCCCAGGTGCACCTGCATGTTATTGCAGAAAACAACAGAAAACCAGCACAGGTTTTCCGGTGTTTTTATTAGTATTTAACGACCTTCTTTACATACTTTGATATGTTTCTTTGGTGCATAATGATTAACCGTGCTGCGTGACCCGGTTGGCACACCTTCTTGGCCGGAACCCTATCTCAAGATGCATTCTCTCACTCGGAGCCTATGCCAGAGAATATCTCACATTATGAAACATTTGCTCCCACAAAAAAACGGTGACTTGGACTAAATTAATCATTAAATTCTGGCTACTTAATGTGTTTAAATTGCATTCGATGTAGACTAAATGCCAATGTTGTAACAGCATGAAAAGTCATTTGAACTTGTAAGGATTGTGTAAGCAATTTATGTGACCAAGTGAAAAAGCGCTAAATTTATAAACAGATTTCAAGCAGTCGACTGTGTGAATTATAGGTGCGGGAAACTGAATAGGTGGCATCTGTGACTAAGACGGTGACAATCAAAAAGCGACAGCATTACCAACGTCTGGTCTGATATCTCCTGCTTCTGTCATAACTAACACGAAAGCAAATTGTAGGTGTCACAGCTGATATCTGATTCGGCTTTTAACATTTTGACGGCCACGCGCATATTTAACTGTTGACTTGACCCATCAAAGATAGACATCTAGCGCGAAATATTTCCTAAAATCGAAATAATCATGTTCTACTGCGTGTTCGCTGTTTCTTACCAAAAACCTCATCCTTTGTTAACATAATAGAAAATGATGCTGAAAAAGTGTAGAAAAATACATGTTGTGTAAATCACTTGAACTATATCTTTGGGTCAAGTACGGCCAAGCCGACTGTGTAGTTTTTACTGATTTTGACAGTGCATAATTTCACCGATTATATATGTTTAGATTCAGGCATCAATGATGGTTTTAGTTTATATGACAAATGGTTACTTCTAAATACTCTTAATAAGTAATGGATTAACGTCAACTTGAATGCGAAGTGATTTATTTATATAACAGTGATTCTCTCTTTATAATTGAATACCTCATACTTTCTCTATAGTGGAACCGCATGGGAAGCAGCAAATGTACTAAAATAAATCAAAATTATCAGCCCTCATGTTTGGAGTTTGTAAAGCGTAGGTGTAAAGAATTTGTGACAGTTCATTTGTAAATGCATTTTAAGAACAGATAACTGGGTTTCGTGATTGACGTGCCAAAAGCATAGTTTCGATTACAATCTGAGGGCCTGTCTAGTGCCGAAATTTACAGAGATGCTAGCAACGATGATTTGAGTAAATTTTGATCGAAATGAGCAGGAAAGTTTGAATAAGTTTTGGCAGCCTTAAGGTCACAACATGACGTTCATTTTCGTCTGCTTATGGCGAAATCATTGAGCAAACGAATGTATTGATGTCGAATTGTTCATGCAGAGAAAGGCATTTACACATAGGGATTACAGATTGCTTGTTGTAATTTTCCTGGGCTTATCGTTTCCTAGTTAGTTTTCAGCATTACGCTTCTCGTTTGGTGAACTATTACGACCGGAACGCTATGACAAATGATTATTCTCAAAGCGTGGATAGAAATTGAAGCCGAGTCACTGCCACCTGCATAATGGGTCAACAATCCTTGAAAATACTTTGACCGTTCACTGCGACTCCCATTTTTTTGGGTAAGAACAACTTCACTACACGACCCACCGTAGTAAACAACGAAATTCAAATCATCATTCATGTTAATTACAAATCACGTAACTTAAAAAACGAAACCCAACCGGTACTACGTAGGAGTCTTTCGATTCGGCACTTCCATCCACTGCATTTACTGTGGAAATCGAAGATAGATATCTGCTCGTAATTCCGTTCGATCCCGTACAAGTAGTAGGCAGAAATATGCCCGTATTTCCGCGTATATTGTCAAAAACGGCAGTAGACAATTAACATCCGTTCTGAGGACATTAAATTGAAAGGCCGCTCCCCCACACGACAATACACTTTGTCCTTTTAGAAAATTGCCCCAGATTTGGACTAGTGTTATCAAAATGAAAAGTGTCAAATTGTACCCTAGACGTTGAACATCACACACAGACGTGATTTAAGACATTGACATCGAAATGGGTATGCATGAGTATCATCTATGAAGTAAAAAACTACTCAATATTCAACCTGAACCCATGAAATCGTCAATTCACGAATCACCGTACTCACACTAGTGTTTTGGGTTATTTCAGTAAATGTGAGTTGTTTTGAGTTGACTTCATGTGAGAAGCCAGGTGCATCACCACAAATAAGGCGAAATCAAGAAGTCTACGATTAGTGCAAGGTGGTCTGAAGGGAACTGAGAATTGGGGAGGCACAGACCGCCGTCCTTTTCTTCAATCAGAGGTGGAAGCACGGTGTTGATTTCTTCAGCACAGCGGCCTGCAGCCAGGACCTCTGCCTCAGTTGGCAACGAGTACGCGCGTGAGACCTGGAGGCACTTGGTCGAGTGCGAGGTGAAGAACACAGCGTCAAGAATCGCCTTGAAGCCAGGCACAATGTTGGTGTAGACGCCTGGCGGAAAGGTGATTGCTGGTTGGAGAATGGTTGCGGGAGTGGTTTCGTCCTCCGTGCCCGCGGTTCCAACCAAGTGAGCGTAAGGCTCTGAGTCAGGGGGTGTGTTTAAATCTGCGGCGAGGATGATCGGCAAGGGCAATCTACAAGAGACCAATGACAAGGTGACGATATTTGGGTAGCTGTGACTCACGTACGCCAAGGCTTAAGTGGACTGGTATGTAAACAGGCAGCAGTGCAACGTGAAGCAAAGAAGTACTTTTTTACCTATGCGACTAAGTACAATCCCCGCAAAACGCTTCTCGAATCCAAAAAGCCCATCACGCACTCGAGGTTTCGCACGGTAAATCTAATCTGCAAAACGCGATTCATTTTCAAGTTTCTACTAATGACAAGGATCGGGGTTTAGGAAGCAGCACTCGTAATGGGAAAAAAAGAAACACGACTGAGTAAGAATCCACTGATCAGTCGTACGTCGTTGTCTTTACAGAACAATTCTGCATATTACCAGCACATGCAAAGTGTGTTGCCCATTATTTGCGAGAGCTGCATTTGATACATTGAAGTATAACTTTCGGTGGCATTTTTTCTCGGAGTTTGGACCGCATTGTTTATCGAACAGTTTTCAACTACCTCAATAGAGAAGCCGATCAACTACGAGTTATCGATGTCTCAGCTTGATTACTGAGAAAAAAAGCCTGTTAGGAGTTGCTGAGGCGGACGCCGAGACAGTAAAAACAATTTGGTGCCACATTTCAGGACTTTATGAGAGAAATCAATGTGATTTCAAATGGCTTAACTCAACCCGTTAGCGACAGAGGGTAGTCTCATTACCGTTTGACTGGGTTATCAAGGCTATGTACAGAAAGCTTCAAAGTAGTGGGGCAGCGGTGTCCAGAGATACCCGGTGTTGAGGCACCGGCAAAATAATAAGACGGAGTTAACGGATGTGGTGGTGCTACCTAGCGCTGCCTTTCCATTTTTTTTTTCGCAAAAAAGCAGTTTTGCGCCCACACACTTACTAACAAATAGAAAGTACTACAGTTAATATTAACTAGAAGCATACATTTCACCGTCTGGTCCGACCATTGTGCTATATTCTTTAGCCAACGCCATTAACAGACGACGCACAGTTCGACACTGAATGTTTCTCAGCTTCATGGCTTTTGGGTGAAAGTAGAGGTGTGTGTTAGCAACGAGAAGACGTTGCCCTGTGTTTCTACACTCCAAAATTAACACGAGCAGCCCATGACCTCGTGACCTCATGCACAGGTAAAGCGGCACTTCACCCGAGGCCGAAAGACGGTTGAATTCAGCAGCCAGGTCCTTGTAGGTGGACTCAGCGAAGAGCATTATTGAGTCTATCGTCACCTTCTTAACCAAGCGAAAACGATCGCGGCGGAAGAAAGTAGCCACGCCCTCACCCTACAAAAAAAAACACAAAAGGCGTTGGAAACTAGTTTTGCAAAAAAAACATTGAATGCCATCAAAATCACCATTTGACTTGTTAACATGGTAGAAATGGGCGAAAAATTGTAGCCAGCAGTTATGGACTTTCAGTAAATGAAGAAACCTTATGAAAATTGACAAATAACCGCCTTTAATAACACTAGGAACAAAGGACTTTTGGTAGCTATCCCGCATTGCCACGGACTAGCATTATGAAAATCATGTTCCGAAACAAAACAGGTCAAGTCGCGGTTTAACACGTGTTCAGCAAAAGGTACCCCACGGGTCCACTCTATTTTTAAGTCTACATAAGGTCAAATAGGTTTTACCTATATTACAGAAATAGATTTATGCCCTTTTAGCTGAAGTTGACGTCTTTAGGAATCTGGTCCCACGAGGACCACTACCACACAACTAACAGATGACTTGCACCGTTGCTTACCAATGATCGGCTTTTCACATTTAATAGTCATGTAACGTGTCAAAAACAATATTACCGTTGTAAGATCAACTCAGTATTAGTACAATCGCTATACAATGCACTTCCCACCCCCACTGTCAGAAAAATTTAATCCACTAGTGCAAAGTAAATCATATTTGATCAAGAAAATCAAATCCGAAAGACTTTGAATGGTAATTGAAGGCTACCTTCCTGGGATAGGATTCAACAGGCATTGGCGGCGGCAGTTCTTTCAAACCATTTGGAACCTCGACCAATAGCTTGTTCAAATGACACCCCTCGAAGCCACCTGCGTGTTCTAGCAAGAAGGAGAGACGACATTGAAAGTGCGAGGCGTCGACCTCCTGTAGACAGAGTAGGTCAGCATTGTAGGCGAGTATTTCTCGGTGAAGCAGGGGAAATCGATACTCCGGTTCAAGGTATGGCGGTGGACAATGTCGAAAAAAGAAAGTCCTTCCACCCTCCGTCGTGCTGTACATGAAGGCTAGGAGGTTGTAGCCAACCACACGAAATTCGCCCGATCCCTTTACGTGCTCAGCGCATTCTTGGATTCTGGCAACAGGAATCAGAAAGAAAACCACTACTTACCGATCAAATAGATCAGACAAATTAATGCAGTGAAGTGTCAGTGTGCAAAGTCTAAGAAAATCAAGTTGGGATGCGAGAGGAATATTTGATTCACGAATGAAGATAAGTGAGGATCAAATTTACTTCCGGGAAATTTTTATCCACCGGAGGTGCTGTCCTCTGACAAAAGTGGTAAATTTGGGCGCCATTCCTTGGCTGCTACACCGGCACCCAATTTAACTGCTGTTTTATTTCACATTTCAAGCTAAATTAGCGACAATTTGAAAAATTCCCGCTTTATACATAATTGGGGTGCATACAGGCTGGTGTCAAAACACCGACTCGAGAGATAGTATTCCACAAATCCTGTTTTAAGCAAATAGCGCAGTGTAGACCTTGGCAGTTATTGAGAAAATCAACAGTGTGCAGGACATTTAAGTTAGCAATTATAAATCGTTTTACAAGAAAATCTCGGCACTTGACTAGACCATGTCTGCGATGCTGCCGATTAGGTATTTACGGCTAATATGGTCAATATTCGATCGGTGAACCGGATGATGCAGGTTTGTGAATGAGCGCGTGTGTCGGAAGGTCCAGACAGTCATGGGAAACGGCCTTGACGAAAAACCACTTCTCATTCCATCACACAATTTAAAAACAGACACTGAAAAGTTTACCAAAGCAAAAGGGATAAATTGAAAGCGCTTTAACAGACACGGGCAGATATTTCGACCGCGTCACAACAACGGCGGTAAGGCATGGACCTGAAAACCAAGGCAGCGCTAAACTGCTGAGCAATGAGGGCAGCGATGGCAGACGATGTAAGAAAACGAGTTAAAAAATTGCAAGTAATGAATTATTCAGCAGCAATGTGCAGTAAAATCGTGAATTAGTGAGTCCACTGGCCAAATAAAGGTTGAGACAACGAAAAATGTTACTTTAATAAGCATTTTTTGTGTGTTTGAACGTCATCGATTGAGAAGAAAAGCAATAATGAATAGCAGTATTTGAAAAAAATGGCCGTCAGTAAGAGCAGAAATAGGGATTTAAAAGAAAAAAACCAACAATTAAGAAGCCCAAATAAGTTGTTGGACAAATGACAAACGTGTTGCTCAGGCGGAGACCTACGGTATTTCATCTTTGGTTTTAAACTACTTTTGACTCTAAAAATATTTGCTGCGGATTTTTTGGCTTTTTTTTCAAATTTTATCGCCACAAGCACCACACAAATCCTTACTACTACTGTTGCTACTGCTACTGTGAAAATGTTAACAAATCAGGAATAACTCGATTACCTTTTATGAAGCAGCACTTGAACCGGAGGACGAGCGACGGGTTCTGGGCAAACGATGAACTGGTCTGGGAACGACAAATCGCCTGCGGATTTAAAGTCACCGAACGGAAGTCCAGGTAGACCCTCAGGGTCGTAGGGTGAGATGCGCAAACGAATTAATCGCCCAACATGTTCTGACTGTGGCGTGAACACGAAACCTTCATGAACGGGTTCGGTGGTCCAGGTGACATCGCGCTTAGAAGCAGCTAAATTCTAGCAAGAAATAGTAGGTACTACTTGACCATAGAAATTTCATTGCTAAACTTATTGCCGACAAAGATCCCGTGAGGCGGCTACAAGAATTACTACACCAGGATACCTAGTGAAGCGCTTAATGCAACATCCGAAGTAGGTTTTATTAACAAAAATGGGTGTGGAATTAGGGCATTGTGGCGCGAACTTTGTGATCAGTCACGTGTCTGGTGTTATGTGACCGCACCAAAACTGGGCCCCACAAAAGGGTCCCACACGGAGAAGAGCTCGCCGGCATGAACGAGAGAGCCTCGGTGGAGCAAACAAGATTACGCGCGTTGAATAGGCCAAGCAGCTACTTGGCGCACACGTGGTTCCGTAACAGATGACAATCCAGTGAGAAGCGTTTTGCAATAAGTGGAGTGTGTCACCTGACCGCAGTGAACACTTTGTGTGCAATTCGAAGGTCAGATGCTTTGAAGTAATAAACTGGTAACCATCAAAATGTACACGCAAATAAAGTGAAAGGGGAAGAGTGGAGCTGCGCAAGCCCTCGCATAGAAGATGAAACGTCAAATAAATCGCGGTTCCATAAAACTTGAACCCCAAACGAAGTTTAAAAGGACCTCCACTTTTTGAATCACGAACAAATACAAAACAGCGCATCTACAATTATACATCCTAGATGGTTTCGATAGGGTTTGGTTATTTTAATCTGATTTAAGATGAAACACATTTCATCTTGTTTACTAATTTGTGGATGTATCCAATGTACGGCCTAAAGACATTAAACACCTTCATAAATGTAAAAACAACAAAATCGGCGACTTCCACATTCTTAGGCAAGGGATAACTTCAAATTTGGTAGCACACATACGCACACAGAGACATTACAATCAAAATGCATTTAACTTCTAATCGTGTACCAACTTTTTGTCGAATAAGCAGAAAATGTTTGAATCACCAAACGCCGTGTATTGCGACGAAGCAAGTGCGTCATCAATGTGTCTGACACCTCACACGAAGACTTGACTGAACGTGTCAAACTCCAGAGACAATAATGCCAGCGTGGTCTTTTAAAAAAAGCTCCTGAGCTACATCAACGAACAAGCCTCTGCATCGTTCTTCGACCAAGGAAACATGGCGGACAATATGAACAGGAAACCAGGTATAGGCATAACATATCTTAGCTACGAGCCAGAGATTGATGGAAAGCAATTTAAACCCTACTGGACTGGGCGAATTGCATCTACAGAAGGAACTGAGATCAAGGAAAAGCACTGATGTGGAATATAAGCTAAGTTAGATAATACACGTGCAGCGATAGGACAACAAACAAATACACATGGATTCTACGCAATAAATGAATGCATTGACCTACCTCATTGTGACCCACATAAAAGTGAGATTGGTCAACTTATGTTGAAAAGCATTAAAGATATCGTTTTAAGTGTGAGGAACTCGAATCAGAGACCAGCCTTGTCACCATTAGGCGAACTCAGGCTACGTAGTACGTCATAAAGAAGACGGGTAATGTGGTGTTTGAATATACTAACACAATTAAACAGATTGTGTTGGTAGGATTAAAACGATGCAACGTAATCTCATGCTTGAATGCGGCCATTATTGCATATTTGGTTAGAATTCACTCATTGGTCAACACTAGTCATTTGAATTTGTCGACGAAAATGCATGCTTCAATAGCCTTTTGGCTTGGCATTATGGGATTCGCTAGTCTATTAGCATTTTATGCGACAGGCGTGCCTTGTAGATCAAGTTGTTGAATGCCAAATTCATCAAGTAGCTGTATCCTCTGAAGTACGGTAAACGCAATGACAAAGACGACCTACCGTCGAGACGAACCACTCAAATTTGGACTTTCCCATGTCCATATTTTCCTCTGCAATCGCAGGACAGACGGGGCATCCCTCAAAAGGTTTTAAATCTAGCTTGGCACTCTTCACACGGGCAGGACGAAATCGAACATCAAAAACAACTTGAGTTGTCTTATCCGTTTCGACATTTAAACAGAATTCCATGTGCTGTGATGAGGAAAATACTTTCTCCAACGAATCACTTAGTTTCCAATCACCGCCATTGAGACTAGCCTCCGTTGTCCGTAGGACAAGGTTATGGCTCGTTTTGTTATCATTTTTAGGAGACGACTCAAAGTAGGTGTTGAGCTTGGCAGTGAGACGCAGCACAAAATCAGAAAGTGTCTCAGTCGCAGGGCGTTTCAAAATGAAGACACGACCATTCCTGGTTGGCATCCCAAGGGTGCGACGAGGAAAGAAAGGAAGTTGAAACTCAATTGAATGACCTGTCTCGGTGTGTTGGGTGGACTCAAACTGAGGTGAGACAAAAAGGCAGTACGGATATTGCAGTTTTACGCATTGTCGCACCATATTTCGATATGGAATGATTAGATTGTGTGCGTGGAGGTGGGAGGAGAAACCCTAAAAGGTAGAAACTGTTGACTAGGCATCGTTCAACCTCCGAAACTCGATCTTTCAACCAAATTAAAAGATTAATCTTCATTGTCCACTATAAACGTGAAGAGTTGATTGTAAAATGGATTGTTAGTTTCTCGTTTGAACCCTCAGCGGTAGAAAATCAACATATTTTCAGTTTCAGGAAATGCTAAAAAAAGTTGTGAAAGTGACAAGCTGTGCTTATCCACATACATTGAGTAAAGGTTAAAACAATACATAAACGACCATAAAATTACCGCAATGGAATGATTAATGACTGAACAAAAAATGTAAGGAATAGAAAAAGTAAATGCGCGTCACTTGATCCGTTGGCCCAAAAAGATTGGTTAGAAGAATACAGGCTGACAGGCCTAATATCCTAGGAAAAACGCTTTTAAAATTTCACGATCGAGGCGACATATATGACTAGTCAGTCCGTAGGCATTTGACAGCTGACCAAGCCGTTATGATCGTAGCCTACTTAGTGAAGGTGTACTGTCTTCCAATTCTAGGCCAAGATGTGTCCTTGATATCACCCGTTCGTAGGAAATAAGACACCTTGAATGCCAGAATACAAATTTGAATTCAGCTTACACCTCCAGATGTAGTTGGTTCGATGGGTGATCAGAGCCTGTCCTAATGTGATTTTTTGCCTTAATGGCCCAGCACAGGATTTCGTTTACATCTAAGAATTTTCACAAACAACCGCAACAACACTGTTACATTAAACCGTTGAAACGCGAGGCAGGAGGAACCCAAGCACTTTCACTCCCCGATGTTTAAATGCGACTAAACTCAGAAGACTCCCAGCGTCGACCCGATAAATTGGAACATTGCTTACAGGATGGAATAAGACATAATAGTCCACGTAAAAATGCCACGCGCCTATCTCTCGCGCTTAAATAAACAATAAACTGAATGTAAAAAGCAACCGTTTCCCATATCCCGACCCATGATTCTAACTTCAACTTTGAGACACCAATAAGAAAGTCGGGCGTTTGAATAGTCGTATTCCTACTTGCACATTTTTGATACAACAAGCAGACAATTAGGCACACACGCTGAAATAATTAGTAAGCATCAAATATGCAATGTCTGAAAAGGCAAACGTCTTTTTATTTCATGTTGAAATATACACATATTCACGCAAGGAGGAAAAAATAGAACACGAACGAGCGATCAAACAGAATAGGCAATTCCTACACATGACTGAGATCGACAACAATGGTAAATAAATGTGAGGCTTAAGCCAGCAGGCACTAAGATGAGCGCTACTTTTGAGTCACGGTATCAGGTGATGAGCATTCTTGGTGCTGTGCCGAGACGATGACCACGCGCCTGGGATGGCCTGATGACGAAGATGGCGCCATATTTGACGAAGATGAGCTAACCACTTCTACGTTGCTCCCTACCACTACGTGGTCTAAGGGTGGCCGGGCTGTCCTGGCCTTCAAGACGGCAGTGTCAAGGGCAGAAAAGGTGGCTGAGGCTGTAGACGAGCCTGAAGAAGGCACCACTACGACAGGCTTGCCTCCGCCAGCAGACAGGGAATTTGAAAGACGTATACGTTGAGGGACGGTGGCAGTGATTCGGGACGACGGGGTAGGAACAGCAGTAGATGACTCGACCGTGATAAGTCGTGCCACTGATGGCGGGTTTGTCGCAACAACAGTTGAAGTGGAAACTGGAGACTTGGTAACGGTAGGTGTATTGGGAGGGGTGAGTTTTTGCTGGAGGTGCAATGCAGCATAGCTGAGCTGAGCCAGGCCCGAAGTTGGAATCATTGCTTGAGGCTAAAATGCAAGATTTTAGGCAAGCTGAATTGGTGATTATCGTGCACTTTACTATCGCAGAATTTCGCCGCGCTGATACAAGCCCTTCATTTAAAATGAAAAATGCATGGTCAATTTTAAAGAACCATCATGTGGAGAACTAATGAGTGGGCGACTGAGCTTGAACCGACTTTGTATTCGCAAACACTTAGTCGTCTCATCGGCACCAGAATATTAAAACCATGTGAAACTATTTTAACATCTGCTTTCAAGAAACTGATACAAGCATCCATCGCAGATTTCACCCACTGGGGACAAAGAATAGTATGAAATCCACGAGCTAAAAGAACCACCCCTCTCCACTTTCGTGCGCTTACGTAAATTTATTGAACGATTAAATTAACACACGAGAGTGCGCAAACGCATCACTCCTTGATCATTTAGGGTGATGGGTGCAAAGGGCACGGTAGCACAGCCTAACTAAAAAACAACGACCTTCGCAGGAATTGTATAATTATCTTAAGTTATTTGCTAGCGGATAAAATGAGTCACTTTGCTCATATAAAAATAATACACAAAGTGAATAGATGTACATAGACATTGCTGCTTTCAGTAGATGACCAATACGACGGGAGTCAACGAAAACAGCACGACTTGTATAGGCAATTTTACACATTTAGAACGAAAAAAAGCATCAATCGGAAGAGTGGATTTGATTTATAACGATTCGTGTGCATGGAGAAACGCGTTAGCCGAATTCGTGGGTTAAGCTAACAATTGTTTATTAATATCTAATGGTGCAAAATCAAAATGGCTCATATAGAAATAAAAGAATAATAGCCCTGGTTTCAAATAACTATTGACTTTGACGCCGCATTATCACACATATGAACACCTCTCGCAATACCGTCTCATCCAATTTCCAGTGACCAAGAGAGCTCCATGTCGATAGACGACGGCAAACGTATGTTCAGTTTAGAATTTACATGAAAATGGAGTAAGAATGTGATTTTTAAGAATGATAAGCCAATAATTCGGCAGAATTTCGAGTTTTCGACGATTAAGTGTCACCGAGGCAACGACGCAGAAGAAAAACACAAACACTCCCAAGACAACTTACTACCACAAATACAACAAAGAACCACTCCAAACTCATCAGGGCCATCTAACCTTAATCTTAGTGTAAGGGACATGATCAGAATTTCAAATAACTTATCAAGGCCAATTCGCATGTCTTTTAAAGGTTATGTGCAATGATTTAGATTACACAACCACTTAGAAAAAATAGACTTCTTTTGCCTAAATTAACTAACTCCCAAGTTTGTCAAAACGTGCGGTATATATTACGGAGAAAGGAGGTCACATCCGATTACTACTTACATGAGTCAAAATACCTTGCGAAAATTAACCCACAAAGTTTAATGAAAGTAAAATTATTGTGAATGTCTAAGGAAAAGCGCTATTGATTAAGCGATATATTACACACAACGCTGATGAAGAAGCAAGCAAAACGGCGTTTTTTCACTAATTATGTAGACATACTTAATATATTAAGCCATAGATAAACCGCCTCTGCGACCACAACTACAAAACAATCCACAAAACCCAAACAGCTGAAACGATTTTTATCTAAACAAGCGAACTAGTGGCATAAATCATGTTATCTAAAATTAAGCGCTGACCTGATCGTCGGAAGGCGACGGGTTGTTTTCTGTTGCGAGGTGGTGTTGTGGAACAACACGCAGAGGAATTGAGAAACCACCAGGACTGGTTGTAGTATTGTTATAACTACCATTAATGGTAGGTGCCGTAGAAGCCGGTACTGAACTTCCCGTCGATGAAGTAACATTACAGGAAGCAGCAGAGGGCATGGCTGTTGGGTGCGCCGGAGATGAGTTGGTGTTGAATGGTGCCGGAGGTCCTGCTTGAGTCAGGGTCGCTGCAGCAACTGATGTTTCTGCAGCTGCCGATTGAGCGGCAGTATATTCATTACCTTCTAGGCACTGATAGTCATGGTAGAGTTCCTGAATCTATAGAGCGACGAATGCATTACATAGAACTGATAAAAGGGCAGCAGACTTCGTGTAGTCATTAAAAACTTATTATGCATAAATTTTGCAACTTCAATATAGGCTATCATGCAAATCACGAACCCATTGGAAAAATAACACTTTAAAAACATAAATACGAAACCAAGCGACATCCACAAGAAATGGATTATTTCGCGCTAATCTAAACCTTGACACACTAGTTAATATGTGTACCTGCTGCTCAAGAAGTTCGTTTTGACGAGTGAGGTCATCTACACACTTGGTGTGTTCCCGATTAGCTTTTGTCAAGGTTTCGATATACTCGACGGCACGCTGAAGCGTAACAGCTCTTGACGCCTTCGAACCACGCAGACTAGGAATAGCTTCACGAAGCTCACTATAGCTTCCTTTGATGCTTGCACGACGCTTACGTTCTAAATGGTTGTGATGATCTCGTCTACAATAGAACATAACGCTGGAAAGCTTAATAGGCGATGTTATACATAATGAATAACAAAAGAGCATTACCGAATAACGCACCGATTGTCATCTGCATGATCGGATATGACTCGATCACTTGAAGTCCGATAACGACGAGGATCAGACCTGTGGCGACCAACATCGGCTCCACTGGATTTACCTCCATGATGATGCAAAGAGCGAGAAGTATAATTATCGCGCCTTTCGGATCCAGTACTCGGACCCTCGCCACAAGCAGCACTTCCACCACCATCCAAGTCGTCATCGTAGTCACTCAAACAGTCATAACCGTCCTCATCGTCCAAATCGTCATCATCTCCCGCAAAATCACCTTCATCGTAGGACTTCGGCACGGGAACGTAGTGGGACATGAACACAGTTCAGAGTCTTAAGTCAAAGTTCCGACAGCATTCAATCTAACGTAGAGGTTGGATCAGTTAGAGGACAATGAAAACCGATAACAGGAATGTCTAAGATACCCTTAGAAAAACAAGAAAATTAACAAAAACAGTAAGTGGTGCAAACAAAGCCGCAGTAACGGCTAGTGCGAAATAACAATCTACAGAAGCGTTCGCCACAGTCAAGATAACGACAATGACAAAGTTTGGTTTTAGCTGAGACTTCATGCAAAAAACGCAAGTGGGAAAGAATATTACGACAAAAAGCGCAGCAACTACAGAATATTAGACGAACATTGATTTGTAAAAAAAGTTCCCCTAGCAAAGAGAACAGCTAAAGCTACTAATACCTTCACAAGTCAGTACTAAACGTGACCAGTACAAAGTCCCGGCGCCATGTTAAAACAAGGTTAAAGGCAAAAAGTAATTTAAAATGGTCGCTGTTTTGTTTCCTTAAAGAATAGCCAATCATTTTGCTGAATTTGTTTGAATCTCCTAATGAATTTAACTAAGCTAACCACCGTTGGGGAAGGTCTGGTCAAATCCATCATCAAGTGGTCTCAAATTGAACAATTAAGTTGCATGTTTAAATTTCTTTATTTCCTTCGATTTATAAATCTACCGCAGAGAACGTGTGATGTAAAGTGATGTGCACGCCTACATTAATGTGCATTCAAGTTCACGAAGCATTGTTTTGAAAAAATGTTAATACCCATTTTGAAAGTAAGCGATAAACTTTGTGCATAGATCTTAATAACTGAATTTGTATATTTCAAATGGCATAATTACTGCACTGTGTCAGCGAAATGGACAGGTGCAAAGCGGGAGTTGGGGGAAGGTGGAAATGCTTATTGAGTAAGTTCATCGGTGATTGGGTGAAAGGAAGGAACACCCTACACAAAATTAACTCAGCGATTTCTTTCTACACGACGCAGGTGACAGCTTAAAATTGATTCCATGAAATGGGAACTAATATGTGCTTTAAAAAGTGCATCGGACCCGATGGTTTCAGTCGCTTCATGATGACAGATACTGATTGTGACTTGTGTAACCGGTAATTAACAATTATTGATCACTAAAAATTATGAACGTACGCTTTTCCAGTAGGTGCCGAGGTTGTTTCGCATAACGGAAAGTCGGCAAAAGTTCCCTTGAGTATTTGCTGTAAATGTGTTAAGCTAGTTGAAGCTTTCAAAGAAAGAATGTCAGGACTGAATACGAGTTAGCAGATCATGTAGTAAAACACCACCGACAGCGGTTTCGAGACATCCCTATGCAAGGGGAATTTTTCTTCTTTCTTTATGCAGCACAAGCTCGTAACATTTGCTTTGGCATTATTTAAACCCACAAATACTGTTTTAGACAAATTAGCGAGCGTAAGTCTCCTGGGATAATTTTAAGGCATCCGTCATAAAACGCACCCAGTATAATTACCGAACCAAAAACTGTAGCAGCGTTTGATGCTCCGGAATTTTGATAAATTCCTTGAAGAAACTGTGCTGTTTCATATCAAGAGAGAAATTATTACTTTTTTTTTACTGAACCACTGTTATTGCAAAAAACAGTAACTTCTGAGACCCTAGCAGACCTACACGCCAGACAGAGAACAACAAAGAAGCAAGTCATCTTTTGTTATCCTAAACAAGGGAATTATAACAATAAGCAGTATAAACGGTAAATGTCAAACAGTTAATGAGCACAATCATGTAATAGTTTACTGCTGGGTACAAATTGAAAAATGTTCTAATGGAAGCCAGTGTGACAAAACAAACAGTTAAGGGGAATAACTTTGCCAATATTACAATCATGCATTTAAAATCATTCCTCTGACAAAGAAACAAGCAGAAACTTAAAGAAAAGTTACATGATAATTTAAAGGGTGCTGGGGATTTTTCTTTTAAAATCTTTAAGTTTCGCCAGTGTCTGGTGGATGACAAATGTCCAGGGTTTTCTTGGTAAGGGTTGCTGCCTTTCCATTCGATTAAAATTTGTACGTAAGGCCTAGTTCGAAGCAGTAAATTGAGTGTGTTGCTCTTCGCAGTTAAAAATGCATCCTTGTGCCATTCCTTATCTTTCTCGTCATATCACAGTCTACACTGCAGTGGTCTTGTTTAATCGCGTGTTCGGTCTGGCTCTTTAGTTTACCTGGTTCCTATACGACGTCAAAGTGTCCGTTGTTCTCATAGACCAAAAAACGTTTAGAGTAATTTGTCAACAAATCACAGCTTGAGTCTGCTTTATTCTCATTCCCTTTACCTCTCTTCGAAATTCTTGAATTTGGTGTGGAGATCTTCACAAATTTCAAAGAAATCAAGTTCTTTAACATTGACTTTGAGTAGACCAGATTTTTGGTGTGCTTGCTAAGAGTTAGCTCTGCCTCTGGCCTCAAATTATGCAACTAGAAGACGGATAACAGGGTTCGTGAAGTAGACGTACACCCCAAGTTGGTCTACTGGGTGAACTACGGATATCGAATGGCCATCTGCACATAGCAGTACATCTGCGTCCTTTGATACCAGCCTGAATTTATGGCCAAGGATAAGAGCGAATTTAAGCAAATCGTCCAGCATTTTAACAAAAAAATTACTCAGAGAAGCGTGTTGAATTGACCGAAACAATAGGTATTTGAATGAAAAGATCTCATTAGGGAGAACTGTTCATGCACCTACAATTTCTCTCACATTAAAATGGCCACGTGTTTTCCTTTTAAAAAACTTCGAGATAGTATAGGAACGATGAAGTTTTTATGACAAATATCAGAGCATATTGCACTAGCTTAGCATTTTTAGGATTAACAATGCGCTTCAAATTTAAGCAACCTACAAATATCCCCAGAGCCAGAAAAAATTCCTTCAATACAGGCTCAGTTTCTAGGTATCAAATTCAATTGAGTTAAGCTACTAGTTTTTCCTTTGGTAACTCAATTCGATCAAAAAATAAAATTTTCTGGACATTCGTACCATTCTGTCGTCCTAAAACTTAAATAATAAAAATAGACGCAATTGTACCTTTCAGGCGTTTCAATAATGTAGTCATATTGCATCAAGGCAGTCAAATTATGGAGGCTTTTTTAATTTATACTTTCTGTAATACCTGCATTTAATATTGACAATTTGCACCTATGAATATTACGGAATTAAATAAAGGTGTTAAGGCTACTTTTGCTTCCATAACTAATAATTGTCAAATTAATTTATGTCGAACTCATGGATTAGCAATTTGTAGTGAATTTAAATCCAACCGAAAGAATTTTTATTTGAAGAATTCTTTACTGATCCGCTACTAGATGGAAAACTGATGTCTGACGTGACATAAAGTGCAGAAGTACGCAATAAATTTTTAAATCTTGAATAAATTTAAATCTGAGGAATTAGGAAAGTAACGAAATTTGTTTTGTTTCAATAAAGCAAGGATGCTGGCTGCATGATCCTTCATAGGAATCACAGACAATCTCCTGTTATAGGAACGTGTCTTAATATTTTAATACACTAACAAAAAATCGTGCCTAAAGTAGTTAAAAAACTTGTACGTTGAAAAAAAGATATGGTTTTGTTAACAAGTCATTATAATTTTTGTTTTGTGATGTGACAGCACTACTTCTAACCTTGGCCTACTTTTACTCGTATGTGATTGGCTCTTGAAAATATGAGGCAATTTGGAATGCATTTTCACACTTTTCTTACAGGCGTGTACAGCTTGTTGGACATAATGCTGGACATCGTGAAAGCAATTGCGCGTGAGGCGGGATCAGTAAAAAAAATTATTAAAAATATATTTGAAAGGTTATTCTTAGTGCTCTTCACCAGCCGACCCTTGTTCATGAAAAGATATCCTACGCCGATCTTGTAACTGACACTGACAAGCAGGTCGAAGACCTCATTAAGTCCCGGATCCTAGCGAAATTTCCGAACCACAAGTAGGCTTTGTTTTAATAAAGATCGCTCTAGAATTATTGCGGAGGAAAGCGCTGAGAACCGGTCTATTTTGACGTCAGAACCAACCTGGATAATTGACCCAATTGATGGAACATCTAATTTTGTTAGCAAGTAAATCATTCATTCTCCTTTTATTTCTCTTAGATTTCCTTTTTGTGCTGTCTGTATTGGGTACTATTCAGAAAAGCAGGCAAGTATTCTACACGAAATTGTTTATTTTATAGGCTCTATGTTCTGTTGTTTATAATCCTATACATAATCAAATGTTTTGTGCAGAACGAGATAAAGGTGCATTCTTGAACGATCAGCGTATTCGTGTATCTGGCTGTACTCGTAATTGACCGCATTTTAGCTAAATTTCCCTCTTTCTAGAGCTGCATAATGCCCTAATACTCACCGATTGGGGTGGTGATAGAAATGCTTCTAATTTGGACACAAAGGCCGCCAATATGCGTTGTCTTATTGCTGAGGCTCGTGGGTTCGTATTTTTAAGTTTACTTAATTATTGGCATGAGTGTGGTGTTCCTTGCCATTTCCCATTAAGTTAACTGCCTGTTGTATTAATTGGTATGAAATCTCCTTTCTTGGGATTGAATCTCTAGCACCATTCACGATACTTTGTTGGAATTTGATTATACGTTTTAAAATCAATTGTTGCATTCTCCTTAATTGTTATAGTGTTGAATTAACTAGTTTTCTTTCATTCTAATGTATGAATTTAGTTGGAATGGTCTCCTATTTATATTTCCGAATCTAGTTTCACGTAGCCGACGCGTGTTTAGAAAGACTCTGGATCGGTTTGGATCGACTGTTGATACCCCCCTGTGAAGTCATCGAAGACTATATAAACTATGATTTAACATCAAAAAAATACGTTTAAATCAGAAATTTATTGATTCTTCGGTCCGTGTCATAATAGAGCTTTCTACGTTAAGAAGCTCTACTTCTAGGTGGTTCTATTGTTTAGTAAAGACTTACGTATGTCCGTCGCAAAATTTAGGATTTTATTCTTTTGTTTTCTCCATCGTAATTTCTAACTTTTAACTAATTTTTGCATTTGGACGTCTGAAATATATACCAGTTATAACGAGACCTTTTTTACCTCGGTGTGAATATTGCATAGACTTTGGTTATGACAAATTTGTAAGTTTCCAAAACCGGTATTTATGTAATTACTGAATCCTGGGTGAGAGCATCTTTTTTTCTTATCCTACTATTAGAACTGTTTTGGGAAATATTCCTTTGGTTAGAAATTTCTTTACGGCTTTCTTTCGACACAGCGATGCTCTTCGCTACTTCTCAGAACTAAAATACGTATGACCAAGCGAAAATCCCTTATTAACTTATAATATTTATAGGAGCATTTTTTTTGCGAAATTAAGTTGAGTATACCTCACTTGGTTTTCCACTTTTGAAGTCATTCAACTTCAGTGACATTTGTGCTATACTTTATATATTTTCACGTAGCGTATATCATCGAGGTACCTTTGAAGTCACACGAAGTCAGGGATTGAGCTGGCGCAACTGTTTGTTCGTCCACTAAATGTCTGTTTGTTTGTTGTATTAAAATATAACTCTTATGTCGAAACCAATGAATGAGTAACCAAGGTGGAGCAGTCCAGTTCATTTATCCCCTGGAATAGACAAACATGTCTATTTCCGTTGTATACTAAACGAGAAGGTGAAATGTGCATTCGAGGTGGCCTCTTATTTATAGGATACTGCAATCACAAAAGTCCGTCAATGTTTATATGACCTATGATATTTGTTTACTATGCATATTAGTTTCTTTTTTGCTTAACGGAACTTTTTTTTAAATTATGAAAAGCTGATTGAAATCGTTTACTGTTAACACCACTTGTGTTGAGTTTTGAGCTTAACAAAACTCCAGCGGACAATCGTAATCTGAGCCTTAAGTAATTGTAATTGTAACTAACCGAAGTAAGTCAGAAATCGTGCCGTAGACTACTTCAAAACTGTCATATAGTGTCAGATAAATGCCTTATGGTTGTGAACACTCCGTGCTCACGGTATTCGCAAAACGCATTCTACCATAGGTTAGGCTTGAAGGTAAGCTCACGTAGTGCTACGATGCCAAATAACGTTAAGTAAATTCTTCCAAGTCAGTTTGTCTCTGTCATATTGCTACCTTATAATGAGTAGTATTCGCTGGCTCATTTTACGGATCAGTAGGTTGAACTGAACACTGGCTCTTATATTTGTCTACCTTTTTATACTTTCCTTAAGGTATTGCGCGTAGACTATGTTTGTTCTACCCGTTTCCTCTGTTAGGAGAATTCTCAATAAACCAACACTTTAGTCTCGGGGAGTGTCTTTGTAAGGCAAACCATACATATTTCGTTCCAGCACTTCTTAGCGTCGCCTTTGTTAACTGGCGGCATCTTTAAAGGTGGGATACTTGGCTTCTTTTTAGAAGGACGCAGTGGGCGTGCCTCTCTCGAATTTGATGACTGAGCTCACTCCCCACTCGTGTTGATTAACATGCTGTTATCCCTCCCGAACGCGTCGCTATGGGGCTAGTGACTTTCGCCACACCCAGTTTATCGTGGCTTTTCCCACAAATCGCGAGTTTTATAGGGAAAATAGGCTGGGGTACCTCGTTACACAGATCTAACCGCCGGAATTCGGATTCATGCATCAGTCATGCAATTTGCTGTATCTTTGATTAGTGCGTGCTGTCTAGCATTCCAGCAACTTCATTGACACATAACTCTAAAATATATCAGTTTTCTCTGGTAAGAATGCTTAGCCGACAGAACTTCCTTGATACACCAGATTCTAAACTAGGCATAAAATAGCCTGTATAAAGCTTAGCATATAAGTGATTTTTAGGATTCGAGAACGCCAGCTTTTGCATCAAATGTACGATCTTTTTTAGCTGCTTGATTATGCCGGAATGACTAAAGGGAGATTATATGTTCTAAGCATTTTTCGGGCGAATATGCAACCTACTTCTTGTCTGATTTTACCAGATGCCTTTTCTAGAATGATGTTTTCCATTTTACTAATCGCTGTTTTGTATAGCTTGACTCGCGTATGCGAACCCGCATATAAGATTTAGCATCAATTGGTGTAAACGTGTGTTTAGTGAAGAACTAAGTATTAATTTATGAACTTGCAGTTCTCTTTGTCAATTTCAGAAGTTCAACTATTGCTCTTTATTGCGGAATTTCCCGTTTTGGTTATTTTTGCGAGGTGAAAGTGGGATAAGCTGAATTTATTTGCCAATTGTTAATGCAACTTTAGTCTTCCGATTGAGGTTTTCGTAAATCATTATGAGTGATTCTCACCGCAAATCGTATTGTTTAATCAGTTTTGCCCTTTACTGGGTTGGTATGGATGTGCTTTTGGCTATTGCTATTTCTGGCCAATTTGATTGCTTCCTAATTTAGTTTTTGACAATGGGGGCCTGCAGTTTTCATTAGGCTCCTTCAAAGGAGCTGGAAATGCCCAAAATCAGCGTAGGCTCACCCGATTGGCAGCATGATATTTTTCAGTACAATCCAGCTTTCGATGCGGTTGTTGTTGTTGTTGCCTTACCTCATGTCGCGGCCGTTTTAATTAATGGTTAATTGTCCTCATTAGGGATAAATCATTTATAAATAGGGGTGCTTTCACTGTGTTTGAAATGCATTTCGGAAATACTAATTGGTTGAGTTAGGTGATTTCCCTCATCCTGTGTGGAACCCAAATACCGGGCCTCTAAAAGAGTCCAATGCATCTTAAGTAACTTTCACTGCTGTTTTGTACACATAGCTTTCTTACAGTTTCTAGCACAATTATATGATGACCAGATCCAATTTTGGCTTCGACTTGATCGTCACCGACTTCGGCACATTGATCGGAACATTAGTTATCTTTGAGTAAAAAACGAAACTACTTTTATCAAGTAATTTCTGATACGGCGTTTTCTTAATCAATTACCACCCAAACTTTATGCATCTCCTTTTGATTCTCGTCTTTATGGAAATTAAGTAAAATACATCACAAAAGGCTCATTTTCTGCACTTTACGTTACAGCATTTGATCTTAAATTGACAGTTACAAACAAAATCGAACACATTTGACTTCCGAAGTTAGCTAAAAGTTAGCATTATCAACTATCAGAAACAAATATCATGACACTAACGGTGGTTCTACATAATTGGTCCTTATTTTTCTTTAAGCTGATGCTTTTGGTGATAATGATCTTTCTGTTTGATTTTTATGCTTTGTCTTGCATTCTGAATTTACCGCGGATTTTTGTACTGTAAGTAAACACTTACTGCTTCCTATCTCCTTGCCAATTTTGTTTGCCATTGAGTTAGTAACTTGTTGGGATATCTAATATCACTAATTACCCAACAAAGCTGAAGTCGGTGGAAGGACAGAGAGTCGATCGTTCATTCGAGAACTTGACGAAGCCGTGGTCCTATGTTGGGTTTGTGAGTGTGCATTTACACCTCGGATGTGTGAATCATAACTGCGCTAACATCGAGACCTAGGTGTGATGTTAATTCAAGATAAATATTCGTGTGAATGAAGGGGGCGTTGAGGATTTGCGCGGCTGGCGCCATGCTGCGAGGAAGGGGAGCCCTGTGTCGGAGGCGAAGCGATCGGACTAAGGGGTTGAATAAACACGATTCACAACAAACTAACTTCACAAGTTCTCAAACTATCCTCTGAATTCTGTGAATCTCTTTCTAAATAAGGGTGCTTTTCAATAGCACTTTCAGGAAGTTTTATTTAACAACGTAATATTAACCCGTGTTAACATTTATTCGACAAGATAGACAACAATATGTGGTGAAGCGTATTGATGTTGATGTGCTGCTTATTCGTAATGTTTACGCAGTAAGAACAGTGCTTCATTTGGATCTTTAGTGTTTGCACATTAGTAATTTCAGTTATTTAGCCGCAACCCTCTTCATTCCTATAGGTTTTAGCTGTATGTGCTTACTGAAATGAAATGCAATCTATTTTGAAAATCTTAAAGTGGGCCTTGTGAACCATGAGGTGTCTGACCTCGTCTTTTCGTTGCAGCACTTGTGAATATAACGACAGAGGCAACGGCTTGCGTTGGCAACACTTATAATGCCGTGTATTGTTTTTTTTTTCTACCTGAGTGGCGTCTTTGCACTACATTTATTTTGAAAAAAAAACAATTTACTAAATATGTATCATTGAAAATATTCCAATATGAGACCTCACCCCTTTTTAATCCTGTGTTGTTGACAGAATTTTCAGGAGTGCTCTCGGTGTCAGCGTTTTTGTCCGCCTTCAATTTTTTGAGATGTCCAGCGTGTGGTGTTTTGACCGAAATTCCCTGTAGACAGACAAATTGCGTTAATGAACTGTATATTGTTGTACACCTTTACTAGAAATCTACACATGCTCCTCATTATCTTTGATGTAGTTTTTTATGGCATAGGCAGGCAAACCTTTCTCAGGTCTGTCGAAAGTTACCTTTTGCATGTTATAGTGTTCTAGCTCCAGCAAAACACCTCCTAACTATGGTTTTGCCACATTTGAATGAGCACTTGCTTGATAGATACATAGATTTTGTCGTTCAGAAAAAAACTTTATTCCTTGGGGTTATTTTCGTTTTAGCGTGAGAACAATGGGCTCTGCGGCGTTGCACATGTGCCAGGTTGCCGCGGGTCAGGGTGACGCCTTCTTCGAATTCGGCATCCATTGTTGGGACTACGCAGCCTCCAGCCTAATCGTCACCGAGGCCGGGGGATACTGCTGCAACATTGACGGTAGGGTTCTCTTAGCATTGGCACGCGATTTCCAACTGTGTAGCCACACATGTAAAGGCCGAATAGGACAGTTCACTGGTCAAAGTTAGGCTTTCTTCAATGGCACCTATTTTGGTGTGCTGTCTGAAACATTCGAATGAAGTATGTGAGGCTAAATTGCAAACTGGAGGAGTCAGAGTTTTGTACTTCTTTCGTCGCATTGAAAGCAAAAACATCCTTTAGATAATAAAGTGTATTTGAATGCATCGAATTTGTTTCGTAAATGCGATCCGGTGTTTATCACCTAGGTTAAAGTTAAGGAAGAAAACGTTCAATCTCCAGGATGTTGTCAGAGCAATTAATAGGCTTGTGTTGTATGTTGTTTTGTGTTCATTTTAGTGTTCGATCAGTTTGTCTTATCTGAAGTAGATCTAGAATTTTTCTGGCAGCTTTATGCATAAAACAGTCGTGGTCTTCACGAGTACTTTAGAACCTTGAAATCCCTGGAAGTAATAGTTCCCTTGCCGAGTCAACCGGAATGGTGTGGGTCGACTAATTTCTTTGTTTTTTTGGGAGAACCGGACCCGTGGTTCGGGGAGCACGAATGTGTTCGACCGTTCCGTTTTTATTTTCAGGTGGTCCGATTGATTTGATGGCTCGTCATTGTGTGGCTGCTTCCAGTAAGGAACTTGCTGAGGCCGTCTGTCAGAGGATCACTCCAATCTCGTACCCCCGTGATTGATGTATATCAATTTTTTCACAATTTCGTTCTAGTTTACGATTTTTGGAAATTAAGTGTCTGCTCTCTTCCTCCCCTTTTCTGTCCCTCTAAAATACGTCTAAACGTGTCCCTTAACCGTTTCCTTTTAAACCTTCTTCGTTTCATGTCAAATCGTGTTTTGTAAATTGACTGTCTCTAAAACGGAAAATAGCACTTTTATTGGGAATGGTGACAGAAATCTTGTTGTTGTGAAATGTCTCTGGGACGATTTTGTAAGGGTATGACTAAGACCTGCGAATTTACCCAGCCAGGGCACTTCTCTTCCAAATGCAACTCAGATGCACATTGCTGTCGTCTTTAGCCCATTGTATGTGGAGAGAGCAGGGGAGAATTTTAATGGAATAATATCGTAGTTGAACACAGTTCACTGTTTAACTCAGTACTAGAACATCAGTAGGTCGACCAAAATCGTACGAGATTTGGGTCCCTTTCGATGCCAGTAAGATAAAGTGGACCACCGTGGTACACTATTTTTACCTCTGACGGCTTTATTTTTGCCTGGCGAATGCATTCATCGTTTTCCTTCGGCGTTTGCAATTATTTCTAAGCCGGTATCACAAGTTGTTGTGGTGCTGTAATCTCGAGCACTTAATTCCTTTTAATTCCACTGATGGGTAGCGATTTCCCTCCGACTGCGAACGTGTCAGTATCAGCAGTGTTATAAACTCCCCCAATTATCCAGACTTGCACGATTCCTTAGCTTTCCTCTGTTTCAGATGCACGTTGGTAGTACGCCTTTTCTAATTCGACCTCTTTTCATGCGGCAGTGTCCGATATAGTTACTTGTAGGCAATGCCTATCAAGCAGTAAACTGCCTCCTAAAATTACTATTATATTAAGCATAGTTGCCCTATTCTGGTTTGGAAACGAGTTTATTCTTCAAAAGCAAACGTAGTTACCACTACAATTTCCAAACATAACCTGTTTGTTTTAATGATAGTCTGTACGTTCAGGAGAAAATATGCTTGATGAGGAAAAGCGCTTTTCTGTGCCAAATATTTTTTAATGTATCTGAGTAAGTAAAGCCTGAAAATTCTGCTTGTATCCACAATACACAACCAGCAAAGCCTTGACATTGGCTCAGTTCTGTTATTTTTTGGGTTTTCTTGTGAAGACTATGGTAAAACGCGGTCATTAAAATCCAGGACACAATCATTTCCTAGTACTGTTACTTAAGTCTACTTATTTCAATGAGTCTAAAATGTGGCGCGAAAAATGTTGCGTGCATGGCAAGAAATCTAAACAAATTTTGCACTCCGAAAAGTCCGATCCCACAGGCGCCGTAGAAAGGTGAACCAGTGGACTTGTAGGCGTCAGCCTTTTTAACGTCTGTACACAAAGGTGAATCATTGGTTCTTCGAGGTAATGGACACACACGATGTTTGCATGGATCATAGGTTAAGTAATTTTTAATAATTAGTTCCAGAAAAAGACAACCATTGATTACTGCCTAAAATTTGAAAATCTGTCACTATAGCACAAACGGGCGTAGTTAAGTCTGAAATCGTATTTTGCTTGTGTATGACGTATTTCTTCGTTGTAAAAGGGGAATGCAATGCAAGCCGAGAAGAGGCGCTGTCAGTGGAAAGGGGGCCGCATTTGAGCGAGGTTGTAGCGTTTTGTCCACCTGTTACGTCAGAGTGCTCTTGTAAGACATTGACCGCTGATGAAGACTAGAAACGGTTCTATAATAATGCACTTTATACAAAATGCGCTTTCACATGGAGAAATAAATGCATCTTAGGAAGCCGTCGTTAGAAATATTTGGGTATGTTGACGTGGAGCCACGCCTCCAGTTGCGATTTCGACTAAACATGTAAACCTACAAGGTATGGAATTGATATTTATTGTAAGTAGCTTCGAGTATAAATTATCGTGAAAATCGAGGACGATCATTGCTAACTACATAGTAATAAAACAAAGTGCGTAGAAAGTCGCTCTATGTGCAAACAATAAGATTTAAGGAAGGGTTGGGCCCTACGCAATGATACTGGACCGTAAAGAATGCTGCTCGAAAGGTGACTGCAGTTTAGACCATCCACGAGTTCTGAAAAGCGACGCTCCGATCTGTAGGGCCTCATCGTTAACCACTAACAACCCAGCCAAAAATTATTCCACTTCGTGTCAGTACGTATAAACTCACAGGCGTATCGCCTCGCACGGCTCCTGCAGCACCCAGTGATGATGTGGACTGCATAAAACAGACATTTAATCGACAACGTTTTATAGCCTTTCTATGAAAGGATAAATTTTAGGTGGTTCTTTTCCTTTTAGTTTCTAATGAAGGTAGATGGAAAGCGAATTTCTCTTTTTTGTCACCGGAGGGTGTGATTTTACTTTTCTCGCAAACCGGTTTAACTTGCTAGAAATATTGTATGACATATAAAGTGACTTGGAATCAGCTACTGAAATGAAATTTTGTTCATAACCACTCTTTAGTCAACTAAATCGTTACTTTTTAAATGTTTTATATGTAGTCTGAAACATAAGCTTAAAGTGCACACTACTTTAAGAAAAGGTCCTCGCAACAGATTTTCCAATAAATCAGGACGTTTCGTTAAATTTTGGTGTAATGGTTAGCAGCAGCAAGTCATGACGCAAGTAAGAATGAGCAAGATTAACTATTAATAAAATTTTTGTGGGAGTTAAACTCAGAAAAGCTTATTCTTCCACCAGCGTCTGAATCATTTTGCAAACTGCGTACCGAAGACATAGGGCCCTCCTTTTATCACAAATTATCTAATTGGGGACGTGATTAAGCTTGTAATTAGGTGGAAAACACTTGCAATCGGTGAGTGTGTTAAAGATGCCGTAAAAGATCGTTTGTGTTAAATGTATTATGTAAAGTTCGTGCTGCTACTTCTACAAACGAAGACAGAAGTATGTAGGTGGTGAAGCCCATTCAAGATGTAGGCACAGATGTACCCCTTCACCACCATACGACAGGAAGTATTTGTTTCATCTTTATCCCAAAAGACTGTTATAAATCTCAAACACACACACTTGATTTCGGTTTGGGATACGAAGTTTATGTAACTCAAAAAAATACAGAAAGTTCCTCGAGAACATATCTTAGTCCGCATCGTCTCCTACAAATGAAATGAAAATCTATAAACTTTGAATAAAAAACAATTATAATGGCCCTGCACTGTTGATTGTGTACAACAATGTAGAGTGCTCAGTTCCTGTTAAATACTAACTGAGACGCCTTAAAACACAGCGGTGCAAAAGTATTCTCTTAATTAATTAATGCAACGAATGATGTGTGACTGAAAAGTAGTTGTGCCTCTGGAGCTCCCGTGGCAAAACTAAACAAATATCCACTCGGTCTTTTTGAAGTTAGTCATTAATGGTGAGGGCTGAGAGTGCAAGTGATAGTTTGTATTGTTTTTCATTTCATGTAATGGTATTTAACTAAGCCGACTCGCTTTATCCGTCTTAATCGCATTACGCCCTCATCATGTTTCAGTGCGCTTAGGTCCTCTCGGGAGTCTATTTCGGGGTCTCTTGCGTGCCCAACAAAGCTAACATTTTTAAAGCGGGTCCTTACACCTTAGCGAAAAAAAATAAGAAATGGCTGCCTCGGAAATTTGAAGGACATAAGCTTATTTAGGCTCACTGAATATTAATGGGACAAATGTGCTTCTGATGGTCCGCAATTTCAGGCAAAATTTCGATTTGTGTGCGCGGCTCCAGACGATTTTATTTTAACTCCTCTGTTACCCTGGTCACCACCTTGTACATTGAGGAGAGTTGATGGTCGGTAATGTCACAATCTGTGTCTCCCCTGTTGCGGACCGTGGGACTGTAGTCATACCATTTTAATCTTATACAAGACAACTTGTGGTGAACCGCAGTAATGCATTGCGCCCCAAATGTTAAAAATGTGTTTTTTTATTCAATATAAAAGGAACAAAAGCGGCTAATTCGATATTCCCATTTTGTATTGACAATTTGAGAAGTTTTCGTTGTAAAACAGAAGCAAAATGCGGAAAATGCGCGCGTACGTAGTAGAACGAACTTTAATTTTTTGGAATTGCTGTGCAGTAGCCGCAGGGATAATGGTTATAAAGTATCCCTTGCTAATGCAATAAATATTTAATTGGGAAAAGCATTTAAGTAAGGCACATGCTCAACCAATTTTGCTAATATGATCAGCAAAATATCTGTTTTGTACAAACTATTTCAGATGATCTAGTTTTAACTCAGCACGTAATTAGAAGGAAAAGGCAAGCAGGATGTAAGCACACCATAGCTAAGTCAGCTCCCATGACGGTTGGCCGATTCAAAACCGCATGAGTACCAGTAATGTTGTTATCAGTTAGGATG